TTGGGCATTGAACATCAAATGTATTGGTGTTTAGTGATTTAGTGTTGTTAATATGTAGAGAATATAATTGAAAGAGACCCATTGGACATGCAATCTGCTGTACTCTAGTAGACAGGGCTGAGAAACATTTACCATCATATGTTGTAGTATTCCTGTGATCCAGAGTAGCAAAGACAAGTCGAAACTCTGGGGACACATGGCAACGTGTGAAAGTGAAAGTGAAATGTCTGAGGTAAATTTGCACAGGTAACCTTTTGTAAGAGTGCAAGTCTCATTCTGTACTGACAGCCCAGCTGTTCAGAGTACAGAATATATTGTACAAGTATATACTGGAAGTTTATTGCCTTTCCATGCACGGCAAACGTGTTCCCCCTGTTACGTTCTCTGCTATCTCTTTTATCCAGAACTTTTTAAGTGGTATCAACATGACCTTGCTTTTATCAGCAGTTGTGGATTAAATATTAAAGAAGGCGTGCTATAGCTGAGCTATAGTGCATTATAGGGCGCAGACTTCAACTACATTTCTGAAATTAGCAGGTGGTGACTAGTCCTGTTAATTAATGTCTTCACTTCTGTAATCTTAAGTTCTGATGATAAAATGATTGTGTTTAATATGTATTTGTTGAAAAGTGCTTATCAATAGCTGGTCTAGGTGACTGAAACAAAAAACATATTTTCACGTAAGAATAGATACAATTTTTTATTTCTGTCGGGAATGGAGGACTATGGCCTGTAGAAACAACACGCCAAGACAGGAGAGATGTGCAAAGAAAATGGGGAATACCCTCTATCATATAACAACCGGACATCTTTTCTTCAAGCATAGAAGTCATTATCTGATTCAAGCTCGATATGATATGAGCTCACTGTGGTTTTTAGAAATAAAGTAAGAAAACTTTACGTGTCACAGTGCCCAAGGGGATTCTGCTGTAGCCCTCATGAAATATCTGTCAAACTATGCATCACGGTGGACTTTTTTTTTCTTCTGACCAAAATGTTAACTGAGCAGCAGTGAACAACTGTATGGAAATGTCCCTGTGCTCTGTGGTTGTGGGCAAACAACGTCAATGAAAGAAAGTTTTTCTATAACCTTGGAACCATAGGTTCTCACGTCAATAACTCGCCCATTTGACAAGAACTGAGTACTTTCAAGCTAATCCCTCGCGTTTGGTGAGCCAATCTGCGTGCGTTATGTGTATCTGCCTTTTCCCCATTGAGCTGAGGAATAATTTGCCACTTCTGCTTTCAGTCATACAGCCACGAGACAAGACAAGTAGATAATACACATGGGAATTTGGGGAGACTACTGTTTCTTGTCAAAATACCACAATAGTTCCATGTAACTCAACCTCAACAACAGGTGGTGAATCCTTAAATATACTGGACCCTGGAAATGACGAGTGTGAAAGCGATGAAACAGACAAGTGGGGGAGAAACGTTATTCACCCTTCAACAGGAAGTCTGACTACACTCTTCTGCAGAAGAAAAAAAAAACTCTTTAAAACTTTTCTCAGGTAGTAATCTGTCCCTCCTCCTACCCCTGTCCCACCAACGTAACCCAGATCTCTCTCCCTCCCTATAATACCCACATACCCACACACAAGCAAGAAAACCGCTGGAGAATCACTAAAGAAACTACACTAAAAAATAATGTTGCGTTTGTGCAACACAGACCAGATTACAAGAGCGCAGGCGATTGAGAAACAAATTAATTATGTGATCCGAATGGCCATTGCTGTGATTAAGACGCAGGGGAGTTAAAATCTGATGAGCTCTGGAGGAAGAAGACCGGATGCAGAAGATAAATGTGCTATCTTTCTTCGGGTGTGTTTAAAAGAGAGCAGCTTTCTTTTCATTCTCTCTTTACATCTAAAAGCAATGGTCAGGCCTTGAGGCTGATGAGCAAAGGCAGTGAGGTAATGGTTGAGGTGGAGAGTAACTGTATTTTCCCTTCCCCTTTTTTTAAAAAGAAGAACCTGCACAACTTTAACACACTCACCAGCTGTGACGTTTTTATGCACGTGCCCATCTCTCAACAGTCCTGTACGGAAAAAGAAAAACAGCGTGATGATGAACACAGTCCTCTACATGCAAATAATTCTGTGCCATCGCATTTTGTCTCATGGGTATAACTAGGAAAGGTACTGATGGAAAGAAATAGCCTTTAAGATTAAGTCTGGAAAACCCCCAACCACATCGCACAGTAGGCTGTAGACTAATTTCAATCTACATATGTCCAAAGAGTTTGAAGCCCTCTTTTTTTAGAGAGACTGTGATGCCACAGTGATTAACTCACTGATTTCAAGCTGATCAGATTTAATGGGATGAGAAAGAAAAGAGAACACATGAGAACTGACATCTACTGGTAAATGAATGAAATGACTGCACTTGGCTTTTAAGATGTGTTTGTGGTGGAGGCCGACTTACCATTTCCAAGAAGAGTGTGATTCATTCATCAGGCAATTCCGACCCTTTGCACAATCAAAATTAACCACTGATCCGTTGAGCCATGCAGCGAAATCTGTCAAATCTTAGGGGCTGCATCATCATAGAACCAACAGTCAGGAACTGTGACCTACCCCCACTGGATTCCCATAGTCTCACTAAGGTCTCCTTAGAAATATGGACTACCTGCCACAGAAGAACTGAAAGTACGTGAGGTTTTGCTCTCAGAGAGCTGGACACGTGCAAAGCTATGTTTGGCTCCTGCCAGATTTATCTCCGGTTTTGATTTACAGTATGCCGCTTGCAGTCTGTGACAGTTTCAGGTCAAAATAAACAGTATCTCTTTGTCCTCGGGCTGTAAATAAACTCTAATACTCACTTATGCACAGAAAGCATATTGCTTGTTACAAAATTCTGATGCATCTCCTGACTAAATAGTGACCAATGTATTGCATCACCCTGTAACATCTATGGAGTTACTGTATCAATTATTGGTGGATGGTGGAATAAATTATCCCTGATATCTAGACCATCTCTGATGAAATGAAAAGTCTCTGCAACACTATGGGACCAGTTTCAGGGCTTGCAGATTTTGGAGAACAGAGGTCTCCAAGCCAGTAGGAAGAGTAGACTAGCTGGAGCCCAAGACAGAGGCTATGAATGGGATGGGCTCCCTCTCAGTTTCCACTGATACAATGGATGATGTTTCAGCTGCTCGCAAAATAACTTTCAGAGGAGAAACACAGTATGCTAAAATTCAAGCCTATTAATTATTATTAATATTTTGTATTATTATTTGCAATGGAGATATGACAGACACAGGCCATCCAGAGAGAAATTGATCTTTTGTAAGTTTATAGAGAATAGGGGACTTATTTTGGAAAAGGTTCATTTAGGGTACATGTGACTTTCCTGAAACATCTCACTCCAGATTTCTGAAATGTTTGTATTGTTCCTGAATGCCCACAGTGCTCGACTAACACGCCTAATTGCTGCTGCTTGTTTGTTAAACAAATTCCAATCTGTATTAAACATATGATCATGAATTAGAGTAGGCCACAATACAACACAGGCAATGTACTGCTAGATGTCTCACAAGTTTTATTTGGATGTTTAAAGGGCCACAAAATTCAGTTAATAGCTCAAAAAGTGGTGTCCTGGCTGCTTATTTATCGGCTAACCTTTTCAATTGAGTCTGTTTTAATAAGAATAAGAATATAGTATGTATTTGACAGACCACCTTAGATGACACATCACCCAAAAGCACTGTACAATAAAAGAGTTTAAAAAAAGAGAACAGACACTAACATAATCATTTTAAATCAAAGAACATTTCTTTTATCTACCCAGGATAAGATCATTTCCCTTTCAAATTGACAAAATATATTCAAACAAAATGGGCCATTTTGAGGAAAGAGAGTCAGATTGACCATTTCAAACATTTTCAGCAGTGCAGAAAAGTTTTCTTTGCATATTTGCATCTGGGACCTTCATGAATTGCTTTAACTGCTTTGCCATTATCGAGCTTCTTGAGTTGAGAATCCAAAAGCTATACAGTAGATGTCATCTTTCTGACTAGTTAAATGTTGCCTTATTGAGATACTACTATAGATTACACCTACCTGTATCATCTTTCTGTTTGAACTCTTCTCATAGCAATAATTTCCTGCCCAGTGCACTCCATCCTGATATGTTTTTCCTCACAGAGCTCAGATTGTCTGCCTGTCAGTGATTGTTTTACACCGTTGTTGGTTACCACAACCTAAAATCACAGTTAAGTCTGTGGTTTTGTTTTGCCTGCTACCTATATTTTTATGTTGGTGTGTGAAATATATTCAGAACCTATAAAGCATTATTGTCATTTTATACCAGACTAGATAAGATTAGGTACAATCCACAATATTTTTAAATTGTATTTTAATTATTTTACACTATTTTATCGAGGAATTTATTGCACAGCACAACAATCTGTTACACTTTTAATAACTGTATATACCATTTTATAATATGATAAGCCTGGGCTAAGCGTTTGAGAGCCGTACTACAAAGATCCAGCAAAAAAATCCAAAAATTCATAAAGCTGCCGTCACCACACTGGATGTGCCCAGCATGTGGGATACTGTAAATTGTGTTTGTTCCGTTCAGGAGGTGGGCGTTTCTCATTTCAGAAATACTCTTTATATTAATGTGTGAGTTCTCTAGAGGAATCCGAGGAAGAGTTCAGCTACACGTGTCTAGAGTGGGATAATTCTGATTTCTGTATAAAAGATAACAGACGCAACATCTGCACCAGTCGGAAAAGTTATACGAGCCGTCTTATCCTTTCTGCGTGCGGTGTTTCAGCATCGCTTCGTCTTTCGCAATTCTCTGTTGGATCACTTCGCTTTGCACTGAACTTGTGAGAAAACTCTTTCTCACAGTTCGAAGAGGACCGGCGCAATGACGAATAGCTCATGCAAAATAATAAACAGACATTTCACCCATGTATTTTTGCCAGCCGTTTACGTGTCGGTATTCATCATCGGGTTCATCGCTAACTGCTGGGGTTTACGACACGTTATTAGGAACTGGAAGAAAATGGGGAAAATAAACGTGTTTGTGCTTAACCTGGGCATAGCGGACCTGCTGTACGTCGTCACCCTGCCTTTTCTTGTGGCTTATTACGCCAGCAGCAGCGAGTGGATGTTCGGAGAAGTCTTCTGCAAGATCACAAGGTTCTGTTTCCATCTAAACCTGTACGGGAGCATCGGATTCCTCACCTGCATCAGCGTTTACAGGTATCTGGGCATCGTTCACCCGATGAAAATCATGGGACGGATTACACTGCGCCACTCGGTAGGTGTTTGTTTTGTGGTCTGGGTTTTGGTGATCGTTCAGATCCTCCCGGACATGTTCTTCGACAAGTCCTATCCACAGTCTTCCAATGCGTGCTTTGACACCACGGCCAACCACCTGCTAAAGCTCTACATGCCCTACAGCATTGGATGGACCGTCACAGGATTTGGCATTCCGTCGCTGATAATTTTAGGCTGCTACGGCCATGTGGCCGTAGTCCTGTCCACTAAGGCGAATGTCAACACCCTGCTGAAGCAGCGCTGCTTGAAACTGGTGGTCATCCTGACCATCCTGTTCTCGGTTTGCTTCATCCCTTATCACTTACTGAGGAACCTCAACATGAAGACCAGACTTCTGCAACTTGAGGGGAAATGCCACGAGAGTTTCAACAAGATTTACATATCCTACCAGGTCAGCAGGGGGCTCGCCTGCATGAACAGTGCCATGAACCCCTTGATTTATCTGGTCAGCAATGACGACTTCATCATGCGCTTTCACAGCATGAGCAAACGGGCAAGACGCTCTGTTGTACAGCTGAGGAATGTCATACACTACCGTAGGCCCACGAATGAGTGCGATTCACCAAACACGTCTAAAGAGTACAGCAGTTAAACTCAGCCCACGAATGTCTCTAGGATTAATGCTCATTCTCTTCCTGAAATCGTAGAAACGTGATACTGTTGGGTGTCTGCACCTTGCGGCTGAAAAGACAGTATATTTGTGTACTATTTTTGATATGTTGTGCCGATACGAGCAGTATTATTTTGTTATAAAATGTATTAAAAACCTGTTTTTTTCTTTGTACAGCACGTTTCTTTGTAAATGAAAAGCTACAAAAGATACAATAAGGAAATTATTGGAACTTCCTTATTGGAAGTTATTTGATTTTTTACAACATAACCTTTGCATAACCTTTATTCTATTCGCAGTGCTTCTTTCATGGAAATGTGCAATGTTAATGCAGAGTCCGAAAGGTTTTTGTACAATAGCTGAAACAATGCCTTGTTTTGTGTTGAAGTCTATTATATATTAAATTATAATACAGCCTGTATGTATTATATGATATACTGCATAGCCTATTATATTCTTAGAACGGGCACTATTGGAAAGAAGTAGTGCTGGAAGACGCATCAACATTAGCACGATGCGTGCCATCTCCAGTCGAATGCGAGCGCTAAGTGATAACGCCCGATTTTGTTACACTCCATAGATATCATGCACACCTGGGCCCACGGGTGCCCCGCATTTTTGAATGAACTAAAATTGCTGTGACAGCCCGTGTTCACAGCTGGGAATCCATGTTATGTTCTCATATAAAAGTTCATTTTCATTTCAGACGTGTCCTCCATATATGCTGAACCCTCCCCTTTCAAAGTGTAAATATACCAAGGTGGTCACGATATGGTTAATAGTCAATCTGTAATAAGTCATATTACTGCAGGTGAACTGTTCACCTGCAGTACCTTTATTAAGCAAACATCCTGCCATATTCATCAGTATTATCCAATCATAGGACTGTCCGTGGTAACAGGAAATAATGCTTTCTAGTCTTATCAACAACAAACTAATTCACACAGTTTGCACACAGGACAGAGTTAAAGTTCTACCAGTGTCTTTTTCTCATGCTTTCACGAGTAATCCTTACTTAAAATGGAGAACATACAGTATACTGTAACTGGATGATGGCTTACCAACTCTGTGTATTTCTTTACAGTATTATGTCTGTAGTATTATTTTGTCGTGTTAAGTGCTAAGTGAATTGATTAATGTCAAGCTGTTTTCCTGAGACAAACCCTGAAAATGTGTTGTTGTTTTTTTTTTTTTAAAGAGTGTTTTGTTGAAGAAGAACTGTAGATAGTAGAAGGTTTACAAAAATGAAAGTAGAGCGTTTATGACAATGCAAGGTTCAGCTTGCTGCTGGACGGGATAGAAAGTCCTTGTTTATAAGGAATTAAACATCCACAGGCTTGGCTGAGTGATAATCTTTATGGTATTTGGCTCTATTTTTATCACCAGCTTTTACTGAAGCATGTAAAACGAGTCTGCACAGTCTAAGGAAATTCAACTGAACTCTTTTCTTTGACCAGACATACAGTATATTCAGAAACTGATATTATGGTTAACAGAATTATATTAAAAGGCTAAATAAATGAGGTAATTTGGTATAGTTGGCCTATTTAATCATTTGGGTTGTACATGGGTGGCACAGCAGTTACCCTTGCTGTCTTGTAGACCTGGGGGTCTATCTGCATGGAGTTTGCGTGTTCTCTCCCTGTTCTCATGGGTTACCGTCCACAGTCCAAAAACATACCGGTAGCTTAATTAGCCTCTGTTAAATTAGCCGTGGTGTGAGTGTGTGCGTGTGTGTCTGTGTGCGTGTGTGTCCTGCGATGGATTGGCGTCCTGTCCAAGGCGTATCCTGCCTTGTTGCTTGCCAGGTTAGGCCCCTTTAGGCTAAACCGGTACAGTAAGAAATGGATGAATGCCTTGAGTGCTAGGTCTTGCACAGTGTTCATGTGCTGAGCATGGTTTCAGCGACTAAAGTACGCTTGTGACTTGGCTAAATTAACAGCACTGGTCAAGTGTAGGCAGGGTCTATGAGTGTCCCAATAAAGACACACATTGGGGAACTTATAAAACAAGAGTTTTGTCTACAGATTAGCTGCTTAAAGACTAGATTCGTGGGTAGTTTCTCCTTCAAGAAGAAGCAGACATTTCTCATCACGTTGCACAAATATTTGAAAAAAATCAAGGATGAAAAAGAAAAAGACAAAATGGAAGAGGAAAAAGAGCATTGGATTTGTGCTTGGATACTTTTTCCGTGTCAGCTGGAGAAGCTGAAGTACAATAGGTCTCACCATCAGGTACAGTAATAAGATCAGAAAGGAACCAAGAGTGGCAATGCTGATAATATATTTTGTTCTTTTGTTCTTTCAGGATAAAATACTGACAATGAAAATAGGAAGCCTGATTATGAACTGTTCAGATCTGGATCTACTGTATATCTTCACCCCTCCTTTTTTTCTGTCTTGTTACATGAGCCAGAGTGACAGGATATTTGGAAAACACTTCTGCGAAATTCAACATGTCTGCGTCAGTTTAATCCTGCTTCAGCACAACTCTGCTAAATCTGCTTTTTTAAGGATTGGTTTGTAATCTGTAAAGGAGGACGCATCAGAAGGGAGGCTCTCTAATCAACGGCGTCAAACAATTTTACAGTAACAAGCTCCTTAATGATTTGAGCATTCGAAGCTTCAATACTGCAGCTAAGGTGTTGATTGTATGGAAGTATTGGAGCATTGGAATGTTTTGGAAGGGCCACGATAGAGTAGTTCTGCTGTAGAGGCAAAAAGTAGAGGACTCAGGGCTCTTGATATGTGCTGTAACAATGTGTAAAGAACAAACTTAGCAATGTTATGAGTGATATATCACGTCCAAGGGGTACAAAAGGTTTGATATCATGGATGTGATTTTGACTCTGCAGGATGTGTGGTCAGTAAGTTAATTGGACACGGTTTCCTGTACGTATTTTGGAAAGTAGCACTTCTCTTCACTGCATAGGAAACATGGGGAGAGATGATTTGATGGCGGGGGGGGGGGCGGGGATGCTGTCTCCTCAAGAGTCAGTCTCATTATCCATCTGGAACAAGCGAGAGGAAACTGGGAAGGAAATGATTTTCTGTATCTTGGCCTCCAGGGGAAAAACATAATTTCTTGGAACATCTCCATCCATGCATCCACACTTGTCCCCTCTCTTCCTCTACATTCATCTGCAGAGACAGGCTAAGCTTGTCCCTTAGTGGTGCCTGCTCTCCAGTACCTAGACACAGTAACGGGGGCCGGTCCAGGCTCCCATGAAATGTAGTTTAAGACCCAATGCAGACGGTATAATCTGGAAGTAAGTGGAGAAGGACAACAGGGAAGAGATGTAGAGGATCAGGGCGGGTTGAGAGACAGGGGTGTGTGACAATGGTGATCCGGTGCTCAGGGGGCGTGGCAAGGGCAAACAGATCCAGACAGTCCAAAGTCCAAAACCGGGGGATCGATCCAAGATAAGACAAACAAGGTTAAAATCCGGAACGGGATCCAGAACAGGGACAGGGAATAAAACCAGGGTGACGAGGCCAGGCACTCCGAGCCCCTGACTCAGACGGTCTGGGTGCCGTGATGAAGCCTATGGTGTCGGGTCTCTCCTGGACCCGCTGGTAGGCAGGCTTCCGGGCGTCCATCTCCCAATGCTGAGCCAGGAATAGTGAGAGCGCCAGACCTAAATAAGGAGACAAAACAGGAGGCAGGTGCACGTGATCAACTAAAATACGAAAGGGCCGGAGTGCCTTTAAGAGGAGGGATGATGATTGTGACAGACACACATCAGATTTCTCACAGCCTTGCTCAAGACCCACATGCTCAGACTGGAATCATAAATCCTGCACCTGCAATGCTGTAACGCGGATTGTTTTTTAGAACTTTTTGTGTATATAATTCCACACTCCTGGTTGCTTTTCATTTGGCACGCTGTTCACATTTCCAGCTCAACAACTGCTTTCAATTGAGGTTGCCTTGGATAAAGGTATCACCCAAATAATTACAGGAATAAATTATAGCCCTTGCTGCAGGATCGCTCACATCAAGACCCCTGCTTAATGTCTCACCACAAGGACAGAGTGCATTTTTTCACATCTTGTTCAGGCCGACGGATCACTGTTTGTGACCCTGAATGATTCTTACCCCTCTGGAAGGATTACCGAAGTACGTTTCTAAGAACAAAACTTGCCTCTTCACCCTAATATAAGGAAGAAGTGTGGTGGCTCATGGGGCTGAACTTTCTCTGCCCTGACAATGGAAGTTCACAGGAGATGTGTGTGATGAAAGCACATTGTCACCGTTGTCAGCCTGGCTTCCTGTATGGAAAACTCCCATGAATCTCCAGCATGGCCGAGATTTCCAACAGCCTCATTCCCTGATGTTAATGTCTACAACTGAGGAGGCTCAGATCAACATGTAATACTTGTGTGTGTAAAACGGAACCAGCCTGGACTTCTAAAGAGCAGCAGTGCAAAGGTAGACACCCTGTGAACTGATATACTGTCAGACTGACTCACTGTAGAACTATTTTAGGTTAAATGAACGTAGTATTCCATAATATGTATCATTTAGTTTTGAAGGCTTGGTTGAAAAAGAAACTGTCAAAGGTTGGAGGAAAATGGGTATAATGAATGTACAGTATTTCCAGACAACCCCAACCGAACAGCACTTTGTGCAACCATTGGCCCTAACATTTTAGATGTTTATATCATGAACTATTGTAATTTTCTGTCAAACTGTCAAAACTCCCATTTGTGTTCTGTTCTTTCCCCTTTAGTCATCATATGTAGGTGTAATATATTGTTTGCATTGCCTTTATTCTTTTGGTTTTGATATCGGGTCCTGGAAGATCCCGACGTCTAGTAGAATAATCATAGCAAACAGTTTGCAGGTTTTTTAGGTAAATCCCATACTTTTGGGGAATTTTTTTCCATTTCTGGATACATACGCTAGTTAGGTTTTGTTAATAATTTGATTAATTTATTGTTTTCGTCATCTAATTCATTAAAAACTAAAAAGAATGTAGTATATACTTTCACTTATTTGTAGTGAATTCCAGTGTAATAAAGTTTTGAAAACTGTTCTGTCTCTTTTACAGCCTTTTAGTACAGCCTTAGCTTTTAAATGAGCAGCATTTGAAGGTACTGTACAGCATCTCAAGGCTGAATGCATTTTCGTATTTGTGGAAGGTGTGTGTTAAAAGTCTGGGCTGTTCAGAAATTACATGAAGGTGAAGAATATGCTGGTATGTGACACACAAATATATCACTGGCTGTTCCTGCCAAATAACTTGTGAAAATTAGTCTCTGCTTTTGCTGAAACACGTGCAGTCTATACTGGCACTGTTCACAAGGCTGGTAAAGTGAAACAATTTGTAAAAAACAATTTGCAACCCTGTGGTGTCTAGAACTACTGATAATTAACACGCATGGATTAAAATCAGAGAGCTACACATACACCTACATACATAGACCTGTGTTTCTCAACTAAAACGGTTTTCATTTCAACTGAGTTCTTAATCAATTAAGTTAATTGATCTAGTTGTTTACAGGGTCAAATGGATTAATTTATCAACTGTACATAGTTTAATATGCCTGCTTTTGGCTCCTAAACATGTTAAATTCTTAAGAAGTTGGATGGGGTTAGCCCTTTACAGCCAGGCTTCCCTTTTAACCTTAAGATTCATTTAACTATGAAGATTTCATTTCTCCTCTCAGTCCTTCTTGTTGCACATTAACTGGCTTAGCCCCTTTTACACCCAGAGTCCACCTAAACTACACTGAACAACATTGGTTTAATTCCCAATATGAATTCTCTTATTGCGTGACATAAAATGAAGATCAATCTTCAGAGCTAATTCCCAGAATATACAACTCTCACACCCTACTGTAGCGTTAATCCCGCATCAGCAGGGTCTGCTTGTTGGCAAGCCTGTCTCCATTTGGTGGTTTGAACCAAATCTTGGTCGCCATTTAATGCGACTGAGAATACTCCAACTGGCGCATTGCTCCTCCTGCCATCGGAGGGGGGGAGGAGAACAAAGTAATGTAGCCAATTCATAGAGGGGGATTATTAGGAGGCATGGGAAATTTGGCCAGGAGACCAGGGTTACACCCCTTACTCTTTTTCGAGAAACACCCTGGGATTTTTAATGACCACAGAGAGGCAGGTCCTCGGTTTTACGTCTCATCCGAAAGACGGCGCTCGTTTTACTGTATAGTGTCCCCGTCACTATATTGGGGCATTAGGACCCACATGGACCGCAGGGTGAGCGCCCCCTGCTGGCCTCACTAACACCTCTTTCAGCAGCAACCTCAGTTTTTCCCAGGAGGTCTCCCATCTAGGTACAGTACCGACCAGGCTCACACCTGCTTAGCTTTAGTGGGTTGGCCAATTGTAAGTTGCAGGGTGACATGGCTGCTGGCTTCCCAGAATATACAACTAACCCATTGTAACACATCAGTTACATTCTCTTCTGAATCATTGTTTCAATAATCACGATTTTTTGAGAAGCACCTTCTCGATGCTACCAACCAATTGTTACCTACTGGGCCAATCAAATTAGTCCTATATTCTTCCAGT